CGGGCGAACTCCGAGCCATTTTGGGGACGGTGTCAGTTTCCACTGTGTGCCTTCAGCGTTGCATTTTTCCCTCCTCCACCCGCCCTCCCCCGTTTCCCCCACCAACAACTATGAAATAATAATAATAAAAAAAGAGACCAAGAGGCAGAGCAGGGGGAAGAGGGAGAGACAATGGGCTGGTGGAGAGAGAACCCATCCGGATTAGAAAGACTTTCAGCTCCCAGCTCCTAAGCCACCCAAAACGCAAACTCAGAGGGAGAGAGAGGGAGTGAGAAGGGTCGGTGGAAGAGAGGAGAAAACCCGGGTGTTTTGTAAATAAAATGAGCAGAGTGCAGCAGCAGCAGCAGCAATAAGCTTATTGCAATTGACAGCGTCTGCAGTTCATTTCAAGATGGCCGCTTGGCTCACATTCATTTTCTGCTGAACGACTTTTAACTTTCATTGTCTTTTTTGGCCGCTCCGATCATCACCCACCGGCTCCTTTTTCCGGGTATGTATAAAGCGAGGTGTCTCCTTACCAAGGGCGGGGGGCTGAGGGGGCTTTGCGGCGGTTTTCGGCTGGTTTGGGGGCTGCAAAGGGGAGCCTAGGTGTCCCCCAAGCTCTCCGTATGGGAAAAGCGCTGACAGTCTGCTCCAACCACACACACACACATATAGACACGCAGCAGCAGCAGCAGCAGCCTGTGCACTCGCTTTCGCTACGCACCCACATTTGCAAATTTTAGTTCCTTTCTTTCTCCAGATGCCCCCTAAAATGTTTCTGTGCACATGGTCCCCGAGGAGAATATTTATATTTCCAGCCCCTGCTGCCATCCCGGCCTGAGCGCCCTTTGTTTAAAGGCAGATTTTGATTAAACAGGGACGTTCATGAAATCTGGAGCTGCCTGGGTCAAGTGATTTCAGTCCTCTCCGAAATAAATGTGTCTGGGGGAGGTTAAAATGCCAGATAACGCACCCATTTTATAGAGATAGGGCCAGTAGGGGGTAGCGATCCTCCTGGAGGGGTTGTTAGGCTGCGGGGCAGCCAACAGAAAATGTTATTAACTTAAGTTGGACAAGTACTTGTGTGAAATTTGATGGTTTGTAAGATGGCGGTTCCCAGTTGTTTCCAATGTCTCCTCTTACATTTGTGCTTAAAATGCTAAAGTTTTTAGGTTTATACCTGCTGGGAGAGGACAGAGGTGACTAAAATTGAGAAATAACTTTTTTGCCGAGATAGCAGTTTGACTGTGATCCTTGGGAATTGGGGTGTGCGATTTGTTAGAGCCTTTGGAGCAAAGGTGATGTGCCTGTAGCACGTAGTGGTTTTTTTGAATTTCTTTTCTCTGACTGGTATTTTTTCTCCTGAGACCGGGAAGGGTAAATTAACATGAGATCCTTTGTCAAGTCTCAAACGTGTCATGAGTTGGCTCGTCATGCTGTTTAGAGGTAGCACTAGAAAGCTGATTGTGTGTGTTTATGTAATTGTATGGCCTTGGCAGTATATAACCTGCGTCGTTTCTGTGTGTTTACTGTAAATATTTACAAATAAAGAGGTAAAAAGCAGCAGAAAAATCGCATTTCTGTGAAAGTGAGATAGGCACTTTTCAGCATCTAGAAACTTTGAGTCACTCCTCCACCCTTCAAAAAAGTGCAAGAAAATCTAGGCATGTGTGCCCAGTTGCCAGCTGAGCATCAGATGGATTTTTGCATAGCCTGTAGTGGTCAGAGTAACTTATTTTATGGGACTGTCCCAAAGACCAGGGAGATTCTGGAAATACAGTTCAGTGAAACTGCTTAGAGTGCCTAGTTACAGCATGTCCTGTAAACTACTGAGGCAGACTTTTTTTTTTTTTTTTGCAGTTTGCCAGAGATACAAAGTGTTGACCTACCCGATCAGTCAGATAGCTACAAAATTAACGTTTTAGTATATTTTGAAGTAGAGGGATTGTGTGCTTCGGATAGTGAGTTTTAGGGAGGTGATTTAAAGGCTGGAGGTCTTTTTACACTCTGTTGCCATTATTCCGGTCTTTCCTCGCTGCAGTGTGCTAGGCAAAGATATTTGAGCTACACATGCGTTCTTTGAAAGAAACACTATCCCTCCTTTAAAACATATGTGGACATTCTTAAGTGAAAGAGTAATAATAGACTTCCTAGGAAAGTAGTTCCTATTGAGAATAGGTGAAGATGTAGAATGACAGCTTCTTTATTACTGATGAGAGAGTTTTCCGAGTGGATGTAGGTGCAAAGTACACAAACCTATCTGAATGATGTTTCTATATTTTTTATGCATTTTCTCTTAGAGACTTGTCAAACCAGGTTTGATAGCTTATTGCCTTTATAGATTTTTAATAATGTAGCTGATTCTTAGCAGGGGAATGCACTTCTGTTTTTCTTCATTTTGACATAACCCGTTTAAGGCCTCTAAACAATCAGTTGGCTGGCGCTGTTTACTTCCAGCAAGCACTGTCTTCATATATTTTATGTTTAGTTGTTCCATGTGTCAGTGTGTAAATATATATTTTCCTGGTTAAGAGGCTGTTTGCACTGCCTGTGTGAAGTGTTGGTACGCCTCGTGTTATCACCACCAGCTGAAAAATCCGAAAGGATTTCCCTTGTACCAGAATACCACGTTCAGGTTGCTGCGTTTGGGCTCCGGGCGCGCACCCAGGCGCACACCCGCCTGCGTGTGGGTCTGTGCGGGTGGCTTCGGGTGAGCAGTTAGGTGCTTGATGCAGTTGCTGCATAAAATCACTGATTTCAAAGATAACTCATAGCATGTTGAAAATGTGCTAACTTTGGGCAATAAATAACCCGCGTTTAGGGGTTGCTTCGGCAAAACAAGTTTCACGGTTGAATTTAATCCTCCTCCTGTTAGGAAAGGGCTACGCTTGCGTGAAATAAAACGTGTTAATGTCTTAAAAGGTTTGTCCCAGGATGTCAGGGCTGGGAAAGAATTCTAAATCAGCCGACTTACATGACCTCGGTCACTGCTGGGTTTTTTAGTTCAGATATTTATGAACGATAAGGTATTGATTTTAACAAATGAAACACAGAACCGTGACAGCAGTCTGTCCGTATTTGAGTACCTAAAGAGACCTCAGAGTCGCTGGCTTCGCAGTACTGTGCTCTTCAGAGACTGAGGCACAGGAGCCTTTTCTGGGAAAAGCAACCCGTCGGTATCAGTTTAGAAGTAAAAAGTGGAGGGTCAGAGACCCTGGAAGCGACATTTAAAGGGCAGTACAGTGAAGTGTGGGTCTCGTTTTCCAGCACGGTGCTAGGAGCATCTTTGGGGATCTGGTCTCACTTGGTGCTTTTGCACTTTGCTTTTCTGTTTGTTTGCTTGATATCATTTGATATTGGGGAGTTTTATCTGCTGCTCGTTCAAAGCTTCTCCTGCAGCAGCGAGAGAAGTTTCCTTGCTAAGATCGCTCGTTGGCGCTGTGTACACTTCTTGAGAAATGTTGTACCCCTGTCCTGGACAGTTTGGCCGAAATTCAAAGCTTTGGGAAACCTTAGTGTATTGTCTTATTTCGCTGCCTAACATCGAAGTTTGCGAGTAGCTGGGGAGAACCTCAGGCAACGTTGTGTCTCGAGACTGCATCAGCTCACACGTTGCAGTAAGAGGTGGCTTATAAGCTCTGTCTCGGGGAGAGTGGGACCAGGAAAATTAGCTGGTGTACTGGGAGCACTGCCATGGGGGAATTAATAGTTTGCATTTGAGTAACACTGTTGTATTAAAATTTTCAGGATCTGTTTGACAGAAAATAATTTACTGTGCAGTTCGCGAGGCTGATAGGGGTTCCCCCCTCGTGGAGTTTTCCCCTCTTATTCCCTCTCATTTTAAGTTGTATATGTGCATATAACGTTAGTGCCACTGCCTGTGATGGGGGTTTATGGGCTGCAGACTGTGAAAATGACATTTGTTTTTCACTCTAGTCGCTGCATTGTGTTGACAAGGTGTTGATTTAGCTTTAGGAATGATTTGGTCACATGGTCCTTTGCATGTTGTCCCTAATGTACCGTTTAAAGTCGGTTTGGGCTTACTTCTTTTTCTTAGTGTGTTTCATTGCTGAGAAGGAGGTTTATTAAAGGATACAGAGTTTTGTTTTCTCCCACCCCAACACCTTACTCTGGTGCTGCAAATCTGTTTCCACCTCTTGCAAAACTTTGCAGCGCTCTCTCTTCGTCGGCGGGAGGCTTTTCAAATGAGACTCGAAAGAGGAGGGGGGGAAGGAAAGAACGAAGGAGAGAAAGAAAGAAAGAAAGAGTGGGAGGGGGGAGAGAAAGGAAGGAAGGGAGGAGAGGAGAGGAGAGGAGGAAGGGGAGCGGGGGGAAAGGGGATCCCGGCAGCGCGGGCAGGAGCCGG